TTCACAGCCCTGCATCGCGCGGCGGACGCCGGGCAGGCTGCATTGCAGGATATTGAATGGGCCCTTTACCTGTTCAGTATTTTGTAGAGCGCCCCGACTCTTTTTTGCTAACTCGAGTCCTAAAATTTTACCCAATTTGTCTATGGATTTGGTACCGCTACTTCATTAAAAACTACTGCACCGCTTTAAATTATAATTATTTCTCTTTGACATAATTTGATAAAAAATTACGTTAAAACGACTGCAGTTGTTTCAGAACCAAGATGATTTTGATAAAATTTTCTTTGAACCAACATTATTTAATTTGACTTACTTGAAAAGCTCATTTAATTACCCTATAATCAGCCAGATATTACAAAAATGGCTATCTTATCTTCAATGGTCAACCACAGACAAACATAACCTCTTTTTCAATCCGTCTAGCTTTGGAAGACTAGGTGATTATAGTGTAAATTTATCAAAAAACTGTAAGATCACTCTAAAATAGTCCGTAAAATATAGTTGTAATTACTGGATATTATAAATTGTGTGTGTTATTCTATGCTTGGGGGTTTTCCAGTTGAAATATTATGATGATAAATGAGGTAACGGTGGTCCACGTGCGACTGTCACAATTTTAACTCGTGCTTGTTTTGTAGGCAAAATGACGAACTCCAAGGGTTACCGTCGGGGTACGAGAGACCTCTTCGCGAGGAGGTTCCGCACACATGGAACTATTCCGCTATCGACGTACATGAAAGTGTACAAAGTGGGAGACATCGTTGACATTAGGGTACGTAGATCACTTGAACTATGCTGGTTCCATAGAAAGTGTACGTAAATAAAAAAATATATCTCTGTAAATACAGACCAGTATTGAGAACAAACAAGGACAACTTAACGCTAACAAAAATCTTAAAGACATCAAAATCTATAACTATTCAACTTAAAATTACAGGGCAATGGAGCTGTCCAAAAAGGTATGCCTCACAAAGTCTACCACGGAAAAACTGGACGTGTGTACAATGTGACTGCTCACGCTCTTGGCGTCATTGTGAACAAGAGAGTGCGTGGAAGAATCATCCCAAAGCGCATCAATATCCGTATTGAACACGTCAAGCACTCAAAGTGCCGCGAGGACTTCCTGAAGCGTGTAAAAGAGAATGAGAGGCTCATGAAAGAAGCCAAGGCTGCAGGAAAGACCAGTAATGTCAAAAGACAGCCTGAACCACCAAAAGCAGCACACATTGTCAGTGGAACTGAGAAACCAGTTCTTCTTGCACCTATCCCATATGAATTTGTAGCTTAAAAAGGTGAAATAAAGTATTTTAAGGCAATTGTGTTGCGTTCTTTATTATTCTATGAATGTTAAAGTAGATGATCTAAGGTAGACTTGGTTAATTGGTGCAAGATACTGGGAAATCATAACTTTCAAACTTGAAATTTATTTCAAAACCAATAATATTATCTATGGCACCTACAAAGCAAGAAGGAACTCTTTGCCGTCTGCTTACTAAAATGCAGCAAAGTGACAAAATATTTTTTTGAGAGAAACCATAACCCAGTTTTAGAATATTGAAATTATTTAATGATGGAACATAGGTACTTAAGCTATGCATCGTTAGTTATGTTCTGATATGTCGAACATGTTAATTAATTTTAACTGTTTTCAAAAGAGAATTTTGTTCTCTATTTTTTTGACCGACTAAATCTAGTTAGATTTAGTCTGTCTGCCTTTCAAAAGTTATAAGGGTATTTTACGGCCCATACTGGAATAAGCTTATTCCAGTTGCACCATTTCTCAATCTCGAGAACCACACACCTAGCTTAGTTCTGATTATAGTAAAAATGTAGTGTAGTGAAGTCCTTGCCATTAGAGTCGTATTTCCAGTGCTTGAAATCATACTCAAGTCTGCTCAAATTCTGACTTGAGCATTGAGTACAGTTCTGGAAAGTGTATGTATGTCATGTTGGGCTCCTGGCTTACACGAGATGAACGCGGCGCGTGGAGTACAGTCGGGTATAGCTTTTTTTTTTTTTTTTTTTTTTTTAATATATAATAGACACACGCTTGGCCACAATCTCACCTGATGTTAAGCGACGATGTGACCGACGATGGGACGCGTTTGCCTAAAAAATGCCTATTCACTCTAGCCTTGAATAGCCCCAAATTGTACTTTTCGGGAAATACAGACGCCGGTAGAGCATTCCATTCCTTTGCCGTACGCATCAGAAAGGAGGAGGCAAAGCGCTTAGTGCGAATAGGTGGAATATCAACGACATAAGAATGGAGTGCTCCGGACCTTCTAGTCGACCGAAGGAGGAACGGTGAGGGCGGAACCAAATTGAAAAGTTCCTGCGCACACTCCCCGAAATGTATCCGATAGAAAACCGACAAGCAGGCTACTTTTCTGCGATGATCGAGATTTTGGAGCTTCGACTCCACAAGAGGATTATTGTTGATAAGTCTCTTTGCTTTACGCTCCACCGAGTCCAAGGCAGCTAACTGGTATTGGGCAGAGCCGTCCCAAAGGTGGCAGCAGTACTCCATACAGGATCGAACTTGTGCTTTATACAGATTTAAAAGCTGTTCAGGTGTGAAGTACCGCCTGACCTTGAAAAGTATGCCTAGTTTTCTGGCAGCAGTTTTTGCCAAGCACTCGATGTATCGCCCAAAGTTGAGGTTGGATGATAAGTCCAGACCAAGTAGCTCAAGGTGGTCCCTTATCGGCACGGATACACCTCGGAAAGTCGGAGTAAGGTGTAGGGGACTCCGTTTTGATGAGAAAAGACACGCCTGTGTTTTAGCCGCATTAAACCTGACCCTGTTAGCATCTCCCCAGTCGGAAGCAGCTTTCAGACTCAGGTTCAACCGGGTGACCATCGCCTCTCGCTTACACCGGATCTCTTCGCTGTTGTCTCGGGCGTCTGGCACATAACTCACCGCCACTGTGCTGTCGTCTGCGTACCCAAAGATACCGGGCATCAGCAGCAGGTCGTTGATATGCAGCAAGAATAGAGTGGCGGAGAGGACAGATCCCTGAGGTACACCGGCATTTATACCATGAGGAGCAGACGAGTAACCATCTACAACTACACGGATTGACCTATCCTTCAGAAAATCGCCTATCCATGTGCAAAAGCCAACAGGAATTCCGTAAGCTGGAAGCTTGTTTAACAGGCTATCATGCCAAACCCTATCAAAGGCCTTTGATATGTCGAGAGACACGGCAAGCGATTCACCGCGTTTCTCGACAGCCTCGCTCCATAAATGTGTGGCGTACGCAAGAAGATCCCCAGTAGATCGTCCACGGCGAAAACCATATTGTCGATCACTGAGGAGATCGTTATCTTCGAGGTATCCAAGGAGACGGCTGTTCAATACACGCTCCATAGTCTTACAGAGTATGGAGGTGATTGCGATAGGTCGATAATTAGATGGGTCGGCATGGCTACCTTTCTTAGGTACAGGCTGTACATTTGCAAGCTTCCAGGATTTCGGGACTTGTCCAGAACTCATAGAGAGGCGATACAGGCGAGTCAACACCGGAGACAACTCGGGTGCACAGTTCCGCAGGACAATCGCTGGGACTCCGTCAGGGCCACTGGCTTTGTTGACGTCTAATTTGCGTAAAGCTTTCAACACCTCTTTTTGACGGATAGTGATTTCGGGCATTTCCGAGTCACATCGAGGTAGTGTAGGTGGTGTTTGCAAAGTAGCGTCAAGACGGGAGTTGGAAGCAAAAAGAGAAACAAAAAGATTTGCTTTCTCTTCAGCGGTATGAGCCAGCGATCCGTCATCTCTCATTAAAGGCGGAAGGGATGACCTGCAGAAATTCGCTTCGACCGATTTAGCGAGTGACCAGAATGCTTTACTCCCTGATGGGTATGAAGCTAACCTGACCCCAATACGACTAATATGGCCGAAGCGAGCTTTCCGTATCGCTTTTTTGCAGGATCTAGCGGCTTTATTAAAGGCTTTCTTCAGACGGAGGGTTTCCGGTGCTTTGCGATCTCGAGCATCAGCCCAAGCCTGGTACGCAGATTGCTTTAGCGTTTCCGCAGAAGCACACTCAGCGTTAAGCCAAGGGCGAGCTTTGCCGCTGGAGGAGACTTCGAAATACGGAATAAAGTATTCCATAGCCCGAATAATCACCTCAGAGACGGCAGACGCGCAGCACGTCGGATCGTCAGAAGAGAAGCACAGCTGCCGCCAGGGATAAGATGCAAAGAAATGCCGCATCGCATCCCAATCTGCTGACTTGTATCGCCACATCCTCCTAGTACTTCCCGTACTGAGATCGGGCGGGGAGTATGCAGATACAGATTTCACCAGACAGTGATCGGATGTCCCTAGTGGGGATGAGACCGATACTTGGTAGCGGTCTGGATCGGTTGTCAGCAGAAGATCCAGGCAATTGGCAGTGTGGTCGTCAACGTCCGGTACCCTGGTAGCGCAACTCACCAGCTGGGTGAGGTCTAGCGATAGAGCACATGCCCGCGCCTCTCTTCCAGCGTGGTCGGTTTTTTGGTATGGGAACAACCATTCCTGGTGATGGGCATTGAAGTCCCCCAAAAAGACAAGTTGTGCTTTAGGATACCGTTGTTGGACTGTTTCCGCCGAGCTGCAGAGATGGTTGAACAGCCTAGTCGTCTCCGGGTCTCCAGAATGCGACCGATACACACTGGCGTAGACAATTTGTTCCAGTCCAGTGTCTACCAGAACCCACATTACAGAGAGATCGGGGTCTTCAAGGTCACGGAGACGTTTAGAGCAGATGTCATCACGAGCGTAAACGCAGGTACCAGCGCGCTGCTTAAATTTGTGCTCCAGAATGTAACCTGGGTAATGCAGATACGCCGTGTCCGAAGGACATCTAATTTGGGTCTCCGTGAGGAAGAGCATGTGAGGCCTTTCAGTCTCAAGATGGTGGTGGACAGATGAGAGATTGGAGTGCAGACCTCGGATGTTCGAGAGGTGCACTTTAAGTGAAAGGACGTGCATCCGCTGTTTAGCCTTCCTCAATTTTCTTGACCTTTTCATATTAGGGTTAGAGTGAATGGGGAGAGCGAAGGCAGTTGTACGAGACACTACCACTGAAAGTCATGCGGCACATACCCTATATGGTACGCCGATGGGAAACTAGACTGGAGCGCGCGGGGACGCCCGAACCCCCCCGGGAGTGGCCATCGGGTCCTTTCATCCGGTCGCCAACCGGCACGATGGAGCACCCCGGGATTTTTCGCGAGTTGGCGGGGCAGCCTTTCACTGGAGGCTAGTCAGCTAATTGGGCCCCCTACTACCTGCGGTCGGCCAGCGGAGCACCGTGCTTCGGATCCCGCTACCCTCCGCATCTAGGTTCCCAGCGCAACAACAAGGGAGCCCCGAGATCAACCAAATCAGTGCAGTGCAACTGTACAGACCCTTCACTCTAGAGCGGCTACTCTGGGCGTCAAGCCGGAACACAGCTATAACTGTTTGGCGGCTAGGCTTCGCCCAGAGGGTGGTCACCAGCCACGACCAAGGTCTACCACCGGAGTTTGTAGCTTATTTGGCACCACCCAGGGGTCACGTGTAGGGTCTCGAGGGTACACAGCCTACGGACGCGAGCTACTTAACCCCCCAAAGCTATTGATCAGAATAATTAAATAATGAATGAATGACTTAAATCATTGACTTACAAATAAATGGACGACGGGTCTAATACAAAAACCACGAAAAAAATGTCCCAAGTCAACCTATTTAAACGTAGTGACATGTAAACGAATATGAAAAAGCTAAAACGTTGAATTTAAATTGTAATGTCATTGCAGTACTGCCTAATTTTGCTTACAACAATTGAAAGGCGCAAAAAACACCATATTCAGCTTCTACTGGAAACCTACCAAAATGCACCATATGTATGTCTAGTGAAAACTACTGAACACAGATATAATGGAGTAGCCTTTATTATTTATAAATAAATTTTATACGTAAATGTTGAAATTTATACAGTGCCATTTATTACGAGCTAGGGTGTCTGACTTTTTTTTGAGTTTCGAGAATTCTCGTACCCGATTTCTCGAGTTATTCGAGAATTTTTTTAAAACCGTAAAAAATCAGCTCCATCAACTATAAAACTAAATGTGAACTTTTCGAAAGTTGTTTTGGCCTGGGTGTTCTGAGTTATGCCCCGGGATAAATTCCATCGTTCGTGGTCCCAGGTTCGATTCCCAGTAGAACCAGTTTGGGAAATGAACTTTTGTAAATTGGTTCTGCTCTGGGATTCTGTTGCTCTGATACTCATGGGGAGTATGTACAGAGAGTTCTCTAGTTTTAGACCAGGTGATTGTCTTACAATAGAATACCAAGACCAGAACCATTTAGAAAAGTTAATTTGTTAAATTGATCCTACCGGTATCGAACCCGGGAACTTCTCATCCAGTGCCCACAGTGCAAACCGTTAGGCTATCAAGGTTGTACTATTTGTATGATTATACATTCTTTGCATGTGAAAGCTACAAATTGCTTAAACTTTAAAAAAAATCCTATTTAATTTGTACTGTCAGTCTGCTTCAATTACATTCTTTGTTTCTTAAGTTGGTATTTTTGTCATTCATCTAACTTTTGATTCTTAATGCATTTTGGCGGTGTACGATGTTCTCTGTTAATACTTGTCACTTTCTTCTTAAGTTCAAGCTATGTTTCCTGGATAAAATTCCTGTATTCTCTCCTTTCTATGCACAGTTCACTCATTGATGTAATCACATACCAAAGTTTTAATATTATGGTCTTTTATCAAGCTTGCATCAGCTCTGGTTTCCTTTCTTTTCTTACTGTTTTCTTAACCCGTTCGTGCATAGTACTGAAATTATACTGCGCTCAAAAACTTCACCACTTTTCTATATGCCGTAGCGATTACATTGATTCAATATAATTATTACTATTTATCGCTGACGACGGTTCATTCCGTCAACAGGCATAGTCGTACTGCTCATAGTTCTTGCAAATGTTTCTTGTGCTTGAAAAAGTACGGCTATGGCGGTAGTAGGGTATTTGCCGTAGTGAGATAATTACAAAATTAAAATGCACGATATTGATTGCGCAAGAGAAACGCTTTCCAAAATAAACACGTAGGTACTAATTAATAATAATAATTATAATAACGCACACACTCAACATTGCCCCGCATTAGGGAAACCCTGTGTCACAGGTGCCATGGACACACATATAGACAACCACAAATTACACCCAAAGTCACAAGAGAAATAAATGTAGTCCATACACATATTTCTCCCGAATAACCTAAGAAATACTTTTGGGATTATGGAAGTTCATGCAAACGTTATTTCGGGCAAATGTATTTTCGGTTTTCTGATTCGTAACCCCGAGCCGTAGAAAGAGTACAACAATATTTGAAAGTATTACTAACATGTATTAAAAATATTTTAATAATAACATTAGCATCAAAGCGACTCTATGAAATTTTTGTTCTAAATATTTCAAACGCTTGTGTTTCAAACAATTGAAGTTGACGTGATGGGTCGAGACCCGTTCAGTCTTTTACGCAAGCAATGAGTCGGAAAGAAACAGTTAGCTTGATTATTTTGATTGCTTTTGTAATGTAATTTACGATTAATTTAAATATAAATTAAATACTATATAATACTAGTGCATAAAATAACACTTTTAAATGATAACTATGATAACACAATGTAGAACTTACTGAAAATATGATATACCATCCTGTTTTTACACTTTAGTTGAGTAATTTTTACAAGGTTTTACCACACAATACGGCATCATTGACAAGCGCGCTGTCAGTCCAACAAACGAAGACTAAAGCGTGATTGACGCTCTGTATACGATTTTAACGCCCTGTAAGTTCGGACACTTTTTAGCGCGGACCTGACGTCCATTTATTTGTAAGTCAATGACTTAAATGAACAAATGATGACTATTATAATATATAGCGCAAATAATTTTCAACTACAAATGGGTGTTACGGTTAAATTGGACCCTAAAAATTCAGTAAATATTTAAAATATATGTCAATTAAAAATTATTTTAATCACAGCAAATACGACATCTTGAGTGATCTCACAACGAACTAGGCTTGTATAGTTCATGAACTACGGAACTATTAGAAATATATTCCCGACACTGACCGACATGAACAAGTTCGTCTTGGACGGTTTTAATATTTCATCGTTCTTTTTAGTTCAGTACGAACTAGGAACTGCCTGCGTTGATAGTTCACATGTCTTTTATTCAGTAGAAACGGTGCGAGCGGAACAAATAGCTATCTTTCACTACTTTTAGTACAAGATCGAATGGGATGCACGATTGAACGTTGCCAGCTCGTTCTAAGTCTGTAATACGTATCTGCATTATGTATATATACAAACTTGCAAAAAAGTAATATTTTTGGTAGGTGTGGTAGGTATCTGTATGTATAATGTCAACCTACGTGTACGAATATATGAAATAGTTGTACCTAAATATTGATTTAAACACACCATTTTAAATAAAATTCTTATTTTGTAAAAAAGGATATTTAGTTAGAATGGCAGTCCTTAAACCTGTAAAATATGAAGGAAAATCAAATAGTACCGATTCTATACAAATTGTATTTTTAAATATACAATACAGTGTAGTATTGACCTCATAATATATATAAGTAGTAGTAGTAGTAGTTCATGTGAATAAAATTACTAGTTTGGAGCGTCTGTTCAATGTCCGAGCAAGGACAAGACGAACTAACTAATTATGGAACTAGAAGGCCCGACCTAGTTCAGTTGACCGATTGAACTAACTAGGATCGCTCCCTCTAAGGACCGATCAGGCACAAGTCTACAACGAACATTGGGAGCTGTGGCCTTCCTTAGATTTTGAATTGAACAGTTAAAACTTGGCACAGATACCTATTATGCACTATTAATTCTGTATCCGTTTTTAAGTGTTTTCCTTTTTTCTTTGTATCTGATTCCGTTATTGTGCCGTAAATAAAAAAATAATTAACTTTTCAAGAAACAGGAACGTGTCATTCAATATCAATAACATAAATGATACGACGTCTTTTCAGTAAATCGAGAGTGATACATTATGGACAGAACCCCATCACTAAACTCTCGTATGTAGTGGAGCATAGGACAATGGTCTCAGCCGCACCATCTTTTATTATGTCACATTATTTGTACGATTTTTCTAGGTAAATGTACATATATCTATCTATGAAAATAATTTAATATATCCAACTAATTTTAAAATTTCGCGACTAGAACCGACTAATTCACGACTTTTTCTGTATGCGATCAGATCTAAGCTAGGAGCTATAGTTCTCAAGATTCGAAAATGGTGCCGCGTGGACATCAAAACACCTTTAAAACATTTTTTTTGCTGAATGGCGTCTTTTTATTTAGCTAGTCAAATTTCTAAAACTCGATCATGGTCACGTAGGAATAAAGCACGCTACTTTGAGACCACTGCACTGGCATCATTAATGATTCATATAATCACAATACCTATAAAAATGCTAAATATATGTCTAAACATTATTTTATGACCATATTCATAGAATAATGTTTTTGAATAAAAGAATGACGTTGTAGCCACTGTTGTAACTTTTATAACTTTTTTGAAAAATATTTACGAAATTTGAAAACAATTAAAAATATTAAAAAACAATAGGGTCTTCAAGATTTTAAGATAAATATGGTTTGTAATAACATGCTGGTTTCCTATAACTAGACGTCAGTCGTAAAGACTATTTTGCGTGTGCGAGAATAATTATGTATGTATTATTAAAATAGATATCCACATATATGTATACCTTCCACCTTAGAATAATAACGCATAGAAACCTAGTCCGCACACGCTAAGTGCGGCAAATTCTAGCGCTCCCAATGGGCCTACACGAGCGGTTGTGCCGTCAGTGCTCAAGGTCAACTTGCACTGCGAAACAATTGACAACACCCGTCAATTGTTTCGAACTCGGGCTAACCAATCGGAGCGCAGTTGTCACAGTAATGATATGGAAGAATAGTTTTCAAACAAATTAAATGACATTTCGTCTCTATTTCTGGTTATATACTCGATGCCTAAATATCACCTTTAGGCAGAGGCACACGAAGTGCCAAGTCAACAAAAAAGGGTTAATGTGACCTAATTTATTTTAAGTACTATGATTTAGTGGTGGTGTGATTTGTATTGGTAGAAAACTAAACTGACACTGGCGATGATCGCCCTAATTTTTATATTATTCTTTTTTTTTTGGTACTGTTTTTTCAATTGGAAACATATTGGAAAAGGCAAATTTAAAACTGACATTGGCACATGGCTTGTGGCCGCCAGGAAGTAATAATAACGTAAAATTTTAATTTGTAATTTTTTTTTTCGTCATTTTTTTTGTACTATATACTAAACTACCGTACATAGTTATTTTTACTTGACATTGGCAAAATTATTGATTATTTCGATGGGGCCATAACATTTAAAAGAAGAAGAATAACGTAAAAGTCTTTAAAAAAACATTGTAAATATTCCACTAAGATGAAAACATGAATAGCTTCGTAATTACAATTTCAAATAACCGATTGCCATGAATTTCGTAAAGTTGAAGTTTATCAGGAGTATTATACTTGTTCCATGATTCCAGTAAGCGTAACTAAAATCCACGTCAAATCCAAAGGTTACGATCAAAGAGAGTATTAAAATAAATAATTAGTCGCTAATAAACTAAAAAGATGTGGAAGAAAACAAGGAGGTACCTCAACGATACCTATATACTAGCGTAGCTACCTTTATAATACTTAGGTACTATTCCATCACTACTCATATTGCCGCCTGCTGCAACTAAAGGAATATTATGATGGATTCCAACTCATCTAGCAAAACTGGTAAGTAGTTTGAAAGGTACGTGATTTGTTTATTACTAATAAATGCGAGTGTATTGAAAATAAGTATATTTAAGAAAGTGGAATTTTGTGCATACCAATCATCAGTGCAATAAGCAATCCACTCAACTAGTTGTCTCGATAAAGCTTCTAGAGGTTTTTCTAGTTGCAGTCAAGAGCCAATGCGATGTGAATTCCGACTACTTGCGATAAGAACGGTCGAATCTCCAAAGTTTAGCTTAACGCGCTTTTGACTGCATTGACTACGTTGAGTAAAAGCTCGCTGAATATAAAATAGGAAAAAGTTTAAATTAGGGAAGTATATGTAATTAAGGAGTATAGTTAATGGGTACACCCTCAGGGTATATCCTACCATAGAGATCGACTTTCCATCATTTTATCACCTACCACTACTGGCACAAGGCACCTACACAATGTTTTAAATCACCTTTTCTGTGATTTGGTTTGTTATTTATTTTGCTGTATTTCTCCATAATAAAATACAGATTTAATCACACTTCTTTATTTTTATTTTACTCACAGGACAAGGGGCAGAATGATACCACACCAAAAAACAAAATTACCTTTTATTATTTCTACTAATGTTGCTATCTAATTGTACAATTGCTACTCTCAAAACTCTCCCTCAATTTTACAATTTAGGGGCCGTATTCTAGAACTCTACTCAAAGCTCAAGTCAGGATTTGAGTATGGTTTAAAACACTCGAAATCATACTCAAGTCCCTGCCATTAGGGTCGTATTTCCAGTGCTTGTGTTTCCAGTGCAATCCTGACTTGAGCATTGAGTAGAGTTCTAGAATACGACCCTTAGAGTCGTATTGCAGAACTCTACTCAATGCTCAGGTCAGGATTTGAGCAGACTTGAGTATGATTTCAAGCACTGGAAATGCGATGCGACAGCATGGCGTGCACGCTCTCAAATCGTCAAGCGGCCGCGGCGTTGTCGCTGCGTGCACGTCGCGCTGTCGCATCGCTTTCAAAACGCTCACAAATCGCCAATGGGATAAGACGCTTATAGATGTGCTTACAGTGTATGAATGTATGTTAAAATTTCTCGCCACTAGTCAAAAAGGATAGGAATTGGAAAAATCTTGTATCTACTTTCATAAAGATTCTGTAGCTCTATATTTCCTCATTGTCACTAACAAAGGTTACTTTGAAATGTGTAAAAAACATTATTAGTTAAGAATTGAAATAAAAATTTAGAAGCTGTAGAGCTCCTTGTGAAAGAATTTGTCCAGGGAAGTACTGCCACCTTACTTATTTCTGCTGCCAAGCAGTAATGTCACCATTACTGTGTTCCGGTCTTGAAGGGTAAGGGTGCTGGTGAAATTACAGGCACATGGGACTTGTCAACTTATGTCTCAGGCTGACGGGCGCAGTGGCAGTGGCCCTCAGATCTTCGCACAACGCAAAAAGCACACGACTTGTTCGTCCCGTCATCGTCACTTGCAGTAGGTAACCGTACAGTAGGTAAACACGTCAACCGTGATACCTACTTTCAAGATTTAAATTCAACTCTATGCCGCATAAGATAAGAACGTTCCTAAGTCCAAAGTGTCAAGCTTGATGTGCTTTACTGTACCCAAATTCTTAGGCCCGGTGCCAATCGGCGAGACGGAATGGCAAGGGTTCTGCGGTATCATTATGCATGCCGAAGAATACCGTCGCAATATCGTGCTCGCGATTATGCTCTCTTCAGGTCAATCGTGAAATTGCAAGCTGGTTTGTTACCAGCTTTGTATTTAAAATTAGTAGTCTTGCTGAAGAAGAAACAGAGAACCATATTTCAAGAAGTAGAAGATTTTGGGTGAATAACCATCGGAAGCCAGCCGAAGCGACCCGAAGGTTGCCGGCTCGGTATCCCAAAGCTAACCGCATTTTTGTTTTTGTAATTACAACCATTAAAATTAAATTTTATAATAATGTCATGAGTTCATGATATTAAAGTATAATTATATACATACTCTTCGTCATCTGAAAATTCCCCGCCGTGCCATCCTACCAGGTGTTACTCACCGCCAGATATATTTTTAAAGTCTGTTCTCCCCCCACTGCAGGGCAAAGGCCTCCTTCCTCTTTTCCCATTTTTCTCGGTCTTGGGCAACATCTGGCCAGTCCTTAGTCAGTATTGTTTTTTTAAGATATTGATGGAAAATGTGACAGACAACCAATGGGTAACTCAAAACAGGGAATTTCCTGTAGTACTAGGAGTACCAGAATAATGGAATTCAGTCGGGGGCACTACTCAGAACACCCGGACCAGAACCAATCTAGAAAAATTCATTTCGAAATTGGTTCTATCGGGAATCGAACCCAGGGCATGTCAGGACCTCCTACCGTGCAAACCGATGGGCCACTGAACAGTTGTAAATAAACTGGGTTACAGAGTATACTTCTGATGAATCGATATATGAGAGAGGGGTCAGTATACCTATGAAAAAACGGAAGCCAAAAAATGTATCCGATGAAGAAAGAAAAATGTTAATAAGCCTTTATGAACGTGTTAAAAAAACATGGCCCGCAAATAAACACCGTTCAACAACAGCTATGTTGCAAAGAACGTCTGAAATATCGGGTATTAGCGAGTACGTATTATACCCTATATTGAAAGAAATTTTAGAACCAAAGACAGCGAAAAAAAGTACATTAAAGAAGAACGAAGCTGAAGTAACTACGTTGAATAGTTCCGAAAAGTCTGCTATTACAAAGTTAGTTCATGACTTTTATCTCCAGGGTGAATTGCCAACCATTTACAAAGTATACTATGCGCTTAGAGATGATGCTAGTCTACCCAATGTGAGTATGAAGACACTTAAGGGCGTGTTACGCCGCCTTAGATTCAAATATCTCATAGATAATAACACAGTCTTATTACAATCCAACGGATCGGCATTGCGCCGAATAAACTATGTTCAGAACATTTTAAAATTGAGAAACGAAAATAAAAAATTTTATTTCGTGGATAACATTTCTTTTAAGGCAGGTAAGTGCCAAAGTTAGTCAACGATTGTGGTATTAATTTTTTTTTTGGTATTAATAATTTAATTAAGCAATGAAGTGGGCAGGACATTTCTCAGTTTCTTTCTCTTTTTTCTAGGTAAGGTCAGTGATAACGAAAATAAGTATTTGATTATAGTTATTGCGGGGAATGAGGAATGGTTTTTGGAGGGTACTGGGTGGGTGTTCGAGTCCAACGAAAACCATTTAAGCCCATTGCAATTTGAAATGTGGTTCAGTAAAGTCCTTGATACATTTGAAAATGGTGTGGTTGTAATGAAAAAGACTAATTTCAATACCAGGTGAGTATATTTTCCGTATTATTAAAAAAATCTGCAACTTGATAAACAACTAAGCCTATTTATTCATAAAATTTCGTGTATGTATGTATGTACGAATAAGTAAGAAAAGGAGTAGGTACTCGTGAAGGAAGGAAAATTTGCTATTAACAGATTTTGGTAAAGTTTTTAAAAGAAAATGCACAATAATGCGCGAAACCACAGCTTTAATATTTTGTGCTTACTCCAGAGGTTGTCAATTGAAATACCGAAATTATTTCATGGTGCGCCACATCCATTTTTGTTATAAAACTTTTAAAAAAGCACTATATCAAGACGAAAAAATTATTAAATAATTAACTTTAAGAAATAGCTATTTTATCAATAAAAATTGACGAATTAGTATTATTTATTATTAGTACAATGCAATGAAAATTGACTAAAAATGCCGGATTGATTTATGAGCTGCTTTTAAGGATGTACCTATATCTGGGGTCCATAACATTGACACGGGCACACTGGCGAAGCGCGGGGTACAAGAACCTCGAGAGTCATAAAAACGATTCAAGATTTATTATACTACCTATTTCATAATGATTATATTAATTTTATAAAATATAATTACGTTGTGTCCCTGTTATTTTGGCAACAATTTTTAATAGCACTGTTAAATCTAGGTTTCTAGAAGTGTCTAGGACTTCGGAAAGGATTGCGAATTAGTATTATTGCAAACGGTTTTCTTCTTCCAGTTCTAAGCTTGTTAAAACCAACTTTCGTGGCGTGACCGTCAGGATGGCTGGTCGTATGTCGCATCTGGCACTGAGTGTATATTCAAGAATTGCTACCTTTTCTAAATAATTGCTACCTTTGATATATTCTGAGAAATGAAAAAAAATATTTGACTGCTTATACCTTTAATTTAAAAAAATATATATTTTTATAAAAATAACTTTAGTTAAAAAAATATAAACGCTTCAAAATTTTACCAATAATACCAATAATACCAATGCCTGCACTTTGTATTATGGCAATGAAGCACTAAAAACTTTTGCTTTTTTAATTTAATCAGGCACTTGTTCGTAAAATTTTCAATCGGTTATATTTTTTTAACTAATGTAGATAATAAGCGTATACCTTTAATTCGTGAAGGTAGCAAATAGGTAGCAATTATTGGTAATATATACTTCTGGAAAATCTGCTCCCTTCATGCTGAACAAAGTGGCGACCAGTCATCCTGACGTCAGAATGGCTGGTCAATTTTTTTTTTATTTCTCAGAATATATCGAAAGTAGCAAGTAGGCAGCAATTCTTGAATATGGACTCAGTGCCAGACGTGACAGGCGACCAGCCATCCTGACGGCCACTTCGTGGCCAGTGCAATGGTCCATAATCCATAATGGATTGCGGACCAACGCACTGGCATATGAATTTTCTCAAACTATTTGGCTCACCGCCTACTGGTGGTGGGCGTTGAAATTTTTTAATCTTCAAAAAATTTCAACGCCCACCACCAGAAATGAAATTCTGCTCATCATTATACCAAGAAATTATTATTATTATTACAGACTAGCAGAAAGTATTCCTACTAAAGTATGGGCGAAAGAAGACATTAAAAACTGGCTATTATCCAAAAATGTTACTGTACCTTCAGAATTAAATAATAAGGCATGTTTTCTTTCATTAGTGGAACAGGTTAAAAATGATCATAAAAGTTATGTTATAGAACAAATGGCAAAGAGCAAGGGTATTACTGTGTTGAGATCGCCCAAGTATCACAATGAGTTAAATCCATTTGAGCCTGCGTGGCCCATAATAAAAAATCACGTTGTTAAACATTTGACTTTACCTACTTCCTTAAATTCTGCCAAATTGATTGTAAACAATGCATTAATCGAAGTGTCTCCACATAAATGGAAGAAATACATCGACCAAGTGAAGAGTGCAGAGCTGGAGATGCATAAATTGGACCAAAACATTGATGACACAACAGATTCGTATCTAAAATTTCTACGTAAACCTCGCTTCCCTGGAGACGAAATCTCATCTGGATCTAGTGAGAGTGAACCCGATGTTGTATTGTAATTGATAACTACAATAAACATGAATATTTTTTAAAGCTGTTTGTAATTTATCACTACACTACCTTTTTAATTTCATTTATATAATTATATTTTTATTCCAAAATTTTATTAGTCTTATAACTTGAACAGAGAACCCGCAGGCACATGTAAACAAATGCTAGACATAACTAAGGAAGAAAGGTTTATGGTACTGACAAGCAAGACACGATAATGTAGCTTGATAGTGGCGTAGGCTGGATATTTTTCAAAGATAATCCGGCTTGATGTTTAATTGGAGATTTTAACAAAAACAAAGTTGTGCAACAGCGTTTATGAAAAACGCCTCAATGTTGTATAGACCACCACAACCAATAAAGACTAAACCACAAAATTAACCAACGAGACGCTGAAAAGCACAGCCACGTACAGAATTTTTTTTATATGACAAATAGGTATTTTTAGAAATAACGAATGGAATAACAATCACCTGTGCTGTGTGTTTTTATCTTAAATCTGACATGTTAAGTATGATCAAAGTCATCACGATACATTTGTAAATAAAAAATAAATAAAATGTGACACAGAGAGATATTTTAAACACCGAGCGAAAACTTCAATTCTATGGTGAATTTCACTTTCCGAATTTCAATGGCACTTTTTGGTGATTTTTGTAAAACCCTTTTTTCTTTTGGTTTTAAGGTCTTAAACGTACAAATAAGTTCAAGCAATGTCATTAATTATAAAATCACAGAAATATTTATATTATATTATACATATTTAAGTTAAACACAACAAAAAACGATATTTTAGGTCACACGAATGAGATTGCATTAACACAAATGATTTTCTCATAAAAAAGACGGCATAGTAATGAGAAATTATTATTACAACACACATTTTATCGTTCACAAAAGAACATTTAACATGTAACAAATATTTTAATATAACTTTTTGTATCAAAATCCTTCTCATTCGTGTAAGACCATCTATCTATCTATATGTAATTAATAAATAAATCTAAATAAGTATTTTGTTCATATCATATAAACTTTGTTGTACATCAATATATCATCATCATTATTTACTACCTATTTTCTACTATTTAGTACCTTTATTGACGTATTTTCTACATTTGCGCTAACGGAAATATTATAGAAATAAAGTGGCCAACCGTTCTGACGTCAGGTTGGCTGGACCACTTTACGATTTTCATAGTTCTAGCAGTATATAATTTACTTTTTTTTTATAACTATTTACTACCTAAACATACTTTTATTTCACTATTTTAGGAAGCTTCTATAAAAAGTTATTTAAAGAATAATAATAAAACGCCTTTGTAAAAATTATCATCTAATGAAAGACAGTTTATCTTCTCCGTGTAATAATAATAATAATAACGCACACACTCAACATAGCCCCGCACTAGGGAAACCCTGTGTCGCGGGTGCCATGGACACACACATAGACAACCACAAATTACACCCAAACTCACGAGAGACATAAATATAGGCCATACAAATATTTCTCCCGGCCCGGGAATCGAACCCGGGGACCTCTGCGTGGCAGTCCGGCCACGGAGGCAGTAATTGATAATAGTTATTCAACAATGGTTTTAGGATTATCTTTGCAAGCTACATTTTATTTCATAATATAATTCAACTAGTAATAGTTGAATTCACTATTACAAATGTAAATTCCATATGTAGGTATTAAGGAATGCGAACGAATTATTCGTGTAATTATCAAATGATAATAAATATTCGAAACTACCCAAAATATTCACAATGGTGAAAATAATTGTGCAAAGTCCGCTTTCATAACGTCATTAATAATTAAAAATAGTAATAAACACATTAACGATGAAAAAAGGTAGACCATCAGCATTACCGTCAGAAAGTATTTTTTGATATAAATGACCTTCCTTCACCTTGTGATCCACTGTTCACAAATTCTGCACATCAAGCTACACAGTGACGTATCTTGTTCCGTTGCACTGGAGACGATTTTCGAACAAAAATCTGTAGTCTGATGTGCTGTTGTCCGTACTTGAAATTGCAAGATATTAGGTATTGTATGGAGTTGCCTCTTTTACGTCTGAAAAATATTTTTTACATCGAAATTTGTATTAAGTATGGAATTAAACCAAATTCCGTATTCGTCGTTTCCGCCCACGATTTTGAGGAAAAATGGGTTAAAACAGGACACTTCGGGTAAAAACCCATTGTTGATCGAGTTTTACTCTACTGCCCATCTCTTGACACTAACCGAAAGGACGTGTACCTACCTTATGCACGATCATATCCTCTTCAATGCTAACACCCGCCGCCCTCCGGTTTGCACTGACCCATAAGGCGCGTTCAAATTATGATTTAACACATTTATTTCTCAAAACAAAATAAAAACATTCGCTTAAATGAGAAATACTGGATAAATAAAGCTTCCAAACGCGAACGAGTATCGGAACCGTTACATAAATATATCAGAGCATATTCACATTTACACAATGTTGTTGCTTTGTCTTAAAATTTATATTTTGAAATAATTGTGCTAGATCACCAACACCATTTTTTTCTTAATTCTGTAGGTAATCAGAAATTAGATGCTTGTAGAAGCGCTGCAGCCGCGCCGCTACTAATTTTCACACTATATTGAGAAGTGCAGTTCCAGCGCCACTGTCGCGACACACACGTGCCACTTTTGTAGTCCCAATGAGTGAACTAAAAATTACTTAAGCGCTACAGATGTGCGGCTGCCGCGCCACTGCACGGCTTATATAAGCGTCTAATTTGAAAGCGCCCTTAATCTGCTAAAGCTCTAGTCGGAATCGATTGAAACGCAAAATCTCAGAGAAAGATCACTTTTTATTTTGAAATGAAATATTTACAAATGAATGAAATTTAAAAAGATGAATAATAATTAATGATTGGAGTCAAAACAATTCATTAATAATTTATGCCTTTTAACTTTAACGGAGGCGTTTAACATGATCTATCATAATGACTATCTTAATAATAATAAATATTATCGTTTTTATGGGAGAAACTTAACAACTAGCGTCTCTAGATTGATAGAACAGAATATATCCTGTTTCAGATGATTTTTGAATGTCCGAAGTTAGGCCGTAGAAATCTTCTATAGCTGACGCGTCGATTTTCTGAAAATAAAAATATGGTGTTATTAATGTTGTTGAAATGGTCAATAAAAGCCCCTTAAATTTCACTTAAAGCTTTGCCACGCCCTTTGTGGCTCAAGACTGAAGTTACGTATAATCGAAACTTGGTTCTTGGGCTAAGGACGTTTTGGAATAAATATAATCACCGTTAGCATTTTATTATTTACTTGTCTTATGACGATGATTTCCAAAGTGGTTTATATCGACCCCCAGCGGTGCCAAAAACTCCGACCAACACGGGGTCCATGACAGCGACAAAAACCCATAAAGGCAGTTCATGACCAGAATTTTGACTTTCCATAAGTGGAATAATCTACGTTACATGCTTTCCTATAACAGATATATAAATTATCTATGAAATAAACTTTTCACAACAAACGTGGTATTGGGTTAGATTAATGTGTAAATAAAACAACATATCGCTTTTTCTATAAAGTTTCTCACTATTTAATTAAACTTATCAAAGTGAATAACACTGTGTTATCTGTTAAAACACATTTGGGGATATCAGCTCAAAAGTGGTGTAATCCACATTATTTTTCTACTTAAATTCTTTAAGAGCGTATTTATTCGACACGAATTTCATCGCGCTCACCCCGAGTGGTCGCGACCGCGTGCGTCTAACTGTCAGAGCAAAATATGCTTTATTTATTTAGCTTTTATGTCTTAAATGAGCGATACTGGTTTGAATTTGGTCTACGCGAAGGCTGGCGCGGTTGTATTATTCAGAGGAATTTAAATGTTGTTGCCTAGTAAATAGAAATCCGATTCGCCATTAATGTACATGAAGGCGTGGTAACTGGGCGGTCGCCGGATCTTTCTCCTCGTGTAACTGGGCGCTTAATATTACTAAAGTTCATAATTGTTCATATTGTTTGGTGTATTTTGAAGTTATTTTCATGTATATAATAAATTTTATAATTAAATTTCGTTTTTATATGGAAATAACATTCAAATATAAAATAATTATGTACCCACTTTAGTATCATTTAAAGCATGGACCAATAAGCTCAAGAGGACTGCTAATCTCCGTACTGCATATTTTACTGCCTCGTGTCCGAACGGTTATCATTGCCTGCCTTGCCTGCCATGACTGCCACGCAGAGGTCCCAGCTTCAATTCCCGTGTCGGGAGAAATATTTGTATGGCCGAAATTGATTTCTCGCGTGTCTGGGTGTAATTTGTGGTTGTCTATGTGTATCGATGGCACCCGCGATACAGGGTTTCGCGCGGGGATATGAGTGTGTGCGCATTACTACTGAAAACTGAAAATGGTCAAAATTCCGTCTTATATCTAGATGACGCCGATCAATAGGTTGGAAATAGTTTATATTATGTAAATGGCCGTGGATTTTAATTAATTCCTCTCTAATATCAATTTAAGAAGTCAGTGTTTTTCCCCTTGTATATTATTCAAATATTGATCATGAGCTGTTTGACAAATATGTGTGTGAAATATGTATGTTACTAATTTATACATTAACGCGCTTCAAAATGGGTGGATGGCGCTAATCCTAAACCAAATAAAAGAATAGCTGGCTCCATACATAAAAATCTGTGCAAAAAGCGCCATCTTGTTGATTTGTTTGTTATCACTAGAAATTAGTGTCGTTTTGATAAATTGCAGCTTGTTAATATAAAACAAATTTAGTTACAAAAATAGCTCTTTGGTACTCGTGGCGACATCTGGTGATCCAGCAGGTACTAAATATCCGGTTACGCTGTCTTGTATCGCGATTAGCAGTCCTCTCGAGTTAAATGGTCCATGATTTAAAGTAACATTGTAAAAAAAATTGTATGTGAAGTCGATGAATTATATGAAAGGCAGGGTGTCTACGCAAAACAGAAAAAATGGCACATTGTCTACAAAAGTTTGGAAGCCTCTATCCTATAAAATTATCTAATCCACGAAAGACGTATCTTTGATTTAACGCACGCACACACTTACATCAACCATATCATCGTCGAAGAGTAGCCAGAATCCGTGACTCTTGACAATGCTGATGTAGTGGCCGCGGTTCGGCCCTGACCCGCAGTGTACCACCACAGCCACCAGGTCGTACAACCGGTCTGGGTTCACCGCGTCGTCCGACTGTAGCAGCAACAAAAATGCTTTTTACATGTCAACTTATACTCGGTCGCCACTTAGCACGATCCTGACATATCTCTTCTGCTTCACTTACATTCGTCAATCGTTTCATACAGGCCCTCTTATTCTAGTCAGTACGTACGCCAGCATTTTTAAAAACACTTTAAATTTCATCTGAGAATGCTCTTCGTGGTCGTCCTCTTCAAATGATGCTTTCCACGTTAGTTTGATATATTTCTTTTGTTAATCTATATTCGTTCATTGAATCCATGTGCTCAGATCTCCTCAACACACATATCTTTTACTATTTTTATCACTACAACCTCTTCCAAACCACAACGTTTACGAAAATAAATATTAATATTAAAATAACAATACATTAAAATTTTAAGAGCATACACAATATATTTTGCGTAAGGAATTTTGTATCATTCCTGGATCGCTCTGAGGCGTGTGATTGTTGCATTGGAATGTTTTAAAGCATACACATGTGGTTCTGCCCCGGAGTATCAAGCAAATATTTTGAGATTGAATCACTAGCCATCAACAAATTTGTAAACGTATGTAAAATAAAATAGATTTGAACAGTTGTTACAGCGAGTATTAGTAAAAACATTTGTACGTAAGCATTGATTTTGTAAGTCAATGTACGTAAGCAACATTTTGAGTGAGCCAAACATATGGATATTTTCGTTAACTCACTGTTAGGTATCAAAAAAAAAAATATTGATTTTCTTGTTTAGGGCACATGAAATTGTTTATTATTTAATATCTGAATCGTGTTGCGCGTTCTACTTAAGAAAAACTTCTTCCTTAGTTATTTCCTCTTTTTTGGTCTTACAATTGTTTTTGTTATTTTTTTTTTAATTACTGTTTACACTTTTTTTATTGCATGTGGTGATCACCTACAACTAGTGAGGCAATTAGACTAAGTTTTTGAAATGTAATAAAACCTGAAATATTGTAGTAACTGAATAAATAAATAAGCAACAAATAGTCGCAACGACAAAAAGCAGCGTACGATCGTAATGCGGCACAAATACCGCGGCGAAAAGTTACGACTCAAGTATATTTTATACAATCCAACTTACCGTATTAAAAAGCCTAAGCTCTAAAGGAAATACAACCCTATGCGACACTTTGATATGTCTATTGTACTGTTCCATATATTTGAATCTCTTTAAGTGAAGAGCTAAGATGAGTGGTAATTTCTTGACACGCATTCGCTTTTGGGCTTCTTGGTAGCTGCTACAGTTATCACATTTGAATTTGTTATCGTTGCATAGTGTTTCAGTATCGCTGAAGCATTTTAGACAATGTGTTATGCTTGTGTTCTGACCGACGTCCACCTGAAAATTAAAAATCTTTGTTCAGAATCATCTATTAAATTTTAGATAGCATTGTGAAAGTTGTCTCTTTTAGTGATTTTGCAGTTATAATATGAATACTTTGTTATGACAAATTGACAATGTACTTTGACACTAAATGGAGAAAAAATACATGGCTCACGTAGATAAAACACATTTAATTTGTTAGCGTAGAAAGAGACTGTGCTCTTCCCGCTCAGTAATTTCAGAGACTATTGCAGGTTATACAATGAGCATTGTGGTAGTACAATGTGACAAAGTACAAACTTTCATATTCGATTTTGATATTGCAGAGCCTGTTATCTTGAAAATGACATATGTATATAGCAATTTATACGGCCAAGCATTAATATGCTCTGTAAAACGCCAAACTATAAGCATTAAATAAAAGGCTTCAACTACAGATCAATCGTCCATATATACATAATTTGCTAAAAACGTCAAACTAAACGTCAGCTATGGTCGTTATTAAAAACCTTACGTGGTTTATTACATAGAACTCAAAATACAGACAAACAACTTTAACAAGACAACTTTTTTGTGGGTTCACTGCCACTTAATTCCAACTAACCTGTAGATCAAAAAAGTGTTCATCTTTGCTGCTAACAGTCTCACAATTCAAACAGCGCGTCTCGCTGGTAAGTGTGCCCTGGAAAATCTCATGCACCCACGTTGGCTCTGTGTTCTGCTGGGGCTGTGGAACAGTTCCATTGCATTGCACATTTTCACCTGAGGTGTTCTTTTGCACTTTTAGTGTGCTTTGATTGCGTTCCGCTGAAAGAAAGTTATTCTATGATATAACGAGGGCCTATAACCTGCTATCGCCTCATATTCACTAGAATCAGTAAAGCAAATTGTGTCAAATAAAATTGTACAGAAATAGCCAACACAATGAACTCTTTGGAACCTGGATAAGTGTTTGGTTGTTTTTAATGACTATACTTCACCAGTTACAGTATTATGTAGTCTTAACAATAATATTACAATTACATATAAAAAAAATCTAAGTGAAAAATGGTGATATAATAGAAATACATAACTTCAAGTTCATAACTCACCTAATATAATCTCATTAATGTGGTTTATTAGGAAATTTAAAAACTCGTGAGCATCTTGCTGCATGTAATTATCAAACTCCTCTGAAAAATGGAAAATGTACTTAGTTCATAACTTATACATTCGAAATTCTACTGCGCACGTCACACTGCGAACGAAACTAAGCTAAACAAGCTAAAAAACAAAATTAACCCAACAATCCCGCTAGTTATGTAAAATACGTCGCCCTTCACCCCGCACGTATCCACTTTTTTTTCACATACACTATATATATATTTTTTACATGACATAGCCCCGCACTAGGGAAACCCTGTGTCGCGGATGCCATAGACATACGCATAGACAATCACAAATTACACCCAAACTCAAGAGAGATATAAATGTAGGCCATACAAATATATCTCCCGGCCCGGGAATCGAACCTGGGCTCTGCGTGGCAGTCCGGCATGGTAACCGTTCGTTTAATTTATTGTTAGCCAAATCAGTTTGTTAGGCAATATTTATGATAGATTAGCAATCCATGTCTAGAACATAAGTTTAACAGTGTTAACAATTAATCCCTACATAATTAAATGTTACACATGTCTATAAACTTTTTATTGATAGTCAGCTGTCCATAAATTATTAAATAAAATTTAAAAAATGTCATATCGACTGCTTCGTAATCTAATCATAATAGGCCACGAAAACAGCGTTTTTTTATAAATTAATTTTTTATAGAACTAAAATTATAGAGCATTAAAAATAATGAGTTGAGTATACGAATCATAGATATTATGCTTATTTTAATCCCTTCAATATATTAAAACGATCCACTGTAAAGTTGTGTATTTAGGATTGATATATTTTATAATTAATAAAAAAGTCATTGTCTATACCTTAAATTAAACTCCTAATAATCATTAATTTATTTCACTTACATCTTATACCTATTTATATTAAAAAATATATATTATAAATTCTATGTCATTGGTAACACCAAAGACAAAACTTTAAATAATATTTCATAATTGTGAATATTTTCTTTAACACTGATTGTAGGTCTTGCATGCATTATCAAATAAACTTTTGGTACCAAAATCTTTCATGCACTATCAAATAATATGTGGTACCAAAATAATGCATGAAAGAGCTACCAATATATATAAACATTTTTTTTACAATAAGGTAATAAAATGTTCTAGGAACCCTGTAGATAACTGATGTAGGGAAAATTTTCAAAGAATACTTTATAAAATAATAATAAATCTTAAGATATAAAAGGATATGACGAATAATGTACTATCAATTCAGATTAGGATTACCAAATACCAACTTTGGCAATCACAACATAGGGTTAGGTAAAAGTGTTGATTGACCCATTATAAAAGAAAGATTATCACTAGTTTACACAACATCTGTTGCTGGAAATATTTTCGCTATTGCTGACTACCAGTAATACGCTAATTTCAAATATACAAGTAGATTTTTTTATCAGCTCTAGTTTTTGAGTTATAGATACCTATGTTTAGATAAGCAAAAACAATTATTTACTTAGAAACATTTAGCTTGTCAATTTTATCCAAGAGCATGTTAAATTTCAGCAAATAGGTGTTCTTAACGAACTCATCAATATTTTTGTACACAACATTTAGGTTGTTTACGTACATAATCTTTGAACTACTCATACTAAAAAAAATAATTTAATTGTCTTAACAGCAATACAACTTAAAATATGCACATATAAACCAACAAATACACAAAACCAACGAGAAATAATAGTGAAACAATTAGAGCTGTACAAATTTTTTTTAAGGTAGATTGAAAGTCATATAACAAGTAACTTTATAAACTATGAAAGTCACAGAATCAGGCCAAAAGTAAAATTTTGTAAACTTATGTTACGAATCTTAATAAAACAAAACAAACAACAGATGAACTGACATGGCAATGTTAGAAATATAAGTTTGTAAAATTATGTCATCAATCTTCCCAGTGAATGCCCCATAAAACCAATACTTCATGGGGCAATTACAGGAAAAAAAATTAAAATGTCTGTAGTAATTTTATATGCAATGTATATTCAGTGTGAATTGATCAGATAGAAAAAAATATCCTATATACATACCTTTTTCCTTCCTCAATCGAGCAATAAACTTTTTAGGTGCAATGGATCCAACTTTTTTCTTCTGAGTCGCAATACTATAGAATAGGTCAGCTAGACATGTTAACAGGGTCTCCTTGGTTCTCTTGTTCTTTGCTTTATATTCTAAAACCTTTTCTCTGAATGGTTTACAAAAGTATAAAGCTTGAAGTACCGAATTACTGTAGCATGTGTTGCCGAACTGGAATTAGTCAATGGGAACAAGTAAATCTAGTGATATAAAGTGAGTGCATTCTTATTGGGTGACAATCATCTAGATTAGAATACTAAGGGCGCCTTCAAATTAAGCTTATAGAAGCATTGCAGTAGCACCATTGTGGTGAAGCAGCCACGCCACGCTACAAATTTCGTAAATTATTCAGAGGGGCAGTTACTTCATCACTATCGTGACATGCACTCACCGCTTTTGCAGTCACAATAAGTGAAATAAAAATTACTGAAGCGTAGCGCTTCATAAGTAAGTGCGGCTGCCGCACCAGTGCAGTTCTTTTACAAGTGTCTAATTTGAAGGCACCGCCCTAAGACATAAAATATAATTTTTTCATAATTCTGATTGACTTTCAAGAGAAAGACATTTATAAAAAAAATATAAGTTAAATTCTTGAAAATAATTAAATGTGCAACTATACAATAAAACACTTCCATAAGTGATAATAAAAGAGAAGCAGATGGTCAACTTAAAATCTTAGAATGTGAACTTTTTATCTTCTAAGCTATTATCTTATCATTCCACTTCAAAATTGATATAGGAAATCCATACAATTTGTTTTTATGTAAAGACTGTCTCATTAACTAGTCAATGTAATATCAAACAATTTAAATTATTAGTACAAGGTAATATAATTCAGTACAAAATTAGCTGGTCACGTTAATTTGCATACTTAAATAGGTGGAAGAAAGTTAGCTATGAATTTAGGGTAAATAAATATCAAATTAACTAACATTGACTAGCCCAAAGTAATGCTCGTTCGGTGGAAATTGCTCTGAGCCGATATCTCTTTCCAATTGCGATATATTTGCGCCCTGAAAAGAAATATGTGTTAAAACAATCCAATAGTCGTAAAAATTGCGAGAAACTTAACAGAATGCCGATAGCACTTTCAAACATTTGTAATACGAAATTAGCGCTTTCGACGACAGATACAGAGTAAAAATTTAACAGGACATCGATACACATATCGAGATATACTTTCAATTTGTAATTAGCACCGAAATTTTTCAATATTTTGCGTTTTTCTCACCATTCTCTGTTGGAAGTTAAGACCGAGATCCTGACATATTGACATTTGCAATGTTTTTCGCTACTTCTGCACGTGATTCACTGGCACTACAGCTAGCAACGGACGAAATTACAATAGCTTCGTTATTTTTTCTAGAAACATAGTTGGAATTTCTTTCGAGAAATATTAGGCAAAATAAGCAAAACCGTCATGACCATGACAGACAGCCAGACAGCTCGCCAGGTGGAAGCATAGAGAAACTAGAGGTGTTATCAGAATTTAAACTGGAAATATTCATATTAGTGGCGACATCTGCTGGTAGTCTTTGTATATTAATAAAGAATATATATTATTTTAGGTGAAATTTTGACGGCAGTCTACCAAATTTGTACTATTATAACCTACATATCTAGAGTTACTGTTACATATTACTCCATTTAATATTTTTTATAAATCAGTTTATTACAAATCAGAATAAATCCACATAATCACAGCAAAGAGTAACCACTTTACGCAATTTTCCCAACAAAGGAGGCCACAGCATTCTACTTGCTACGATCCTGACACACAACACAATATAAATATATATTCTGTCCCAAAATTGAACGATAACCCGAGAACAGGATGTTTTCATTCGTCGTCGAACATGTTTGTAACTAAACTACATTTTAAAGAAGGGTGTGGATAGTGTTGGGTCATGGAAAAATTTCCATTTTGAAAAAATAAATATTTCGTTTACTTTTCCCGTATTTTCCTTTGAGGATGGAGGTATTTTCCCACATTTGACAGTTGATATCTGTCAATAGTTGAAGATACTGAACGAAATCGATGGAGCCACTATAAAGATTTTTTTTACATAAGATTCTCTTGTATTGCTGTTGTCCAATAATTTTAATTTAAATCTCGTTTTTCTTTATCTTGCTTTTAGCAATACAATTTATTAAACTTCACAAGATATTTCTAAACGAAGAACATTATCATGAATTCGAATTATAATTTTTATTATGTTTGAAATTTTTCTGAAAATTACCCAACAGTACGTGTAAATTTCTAAAATCTACAAATTTATTTTTTCTCTTGTTACTATTACTATATCCATCATGTCTATGATTTGATGTTAAACTGTTGTGCGTTCAAATGATTATAATAAGTTTCGTATTACTACATTTCTGTGACTTACCTTTTTGTCATGGTTTTGATTTGTTTTCGATCGATTGCTAATAAATTTTTTATATTAGAACATAATTGTGGTGTCTTATTTTGGTCGACGTTATTTAACCTGGCTTTTTAGATAGAACTGCAATTCTTTCTTATCATGTAGTTTATTGTTGATTTGGTTTTAAAACAAACATAGTTATCTTCACTTTATAGCCAGCGCCAGCATCCGATCGTTCGCCTCCCGTCTGTACGTTTGCCGGTGATCGTATCCCATAGCGACTCGCGTCGGGATCAAGGAAGTTTACGTGTACAGTGTTGACGTGGCCCCTTACAGCAGGTACATTACTGAAACTTAGCCCCAAATTGATCACAGTAAGTATACTGAACCATATACTCGTAGTTAACTTTATAATTTTGTCCTAGATTCGTTTATGATCAGCGTATTCATGATTTTATAGGTTTACTGTTGTTATTTTAGCAATGCTGACTTCGTTGTTTATTGCTCTTGCCATTTCGGCGGTGTTTGCGGGGGTTCCGAGTCAAGATGAGAGTAAAAGACTTATGGACCATTTCTCTGATGCTGAGCACTTCAAGAATGAGCATCACAATAAGCAGTTCGATCATGACGCGTTCCTGGGTGAGGACCAGGCTAAGACCTTTGACCAACTGCCACCAGAGGAAAGTAGGAGAAGACTTGGGTAAGTACCACATTAACTTAAAATAATAGGGATTATTATTTACTTAAAACCTTTTTATGAACACATACACTCATACCCAAAACAAATTGAAGTTTTAGTTTTATCACTTATACTTATGTGATCTGAAAATAAAAACTGGTAACTCTATGTAATATATTTGTATCAACCCATTTATGATCCACTGCAAATCAATCAAAATTAATGTAATTGAAAAACTATTTCATTTACCACCAATTGTAGAAATGGTTGATGTTTGGTACTTCTGCTTTTGATTGATTTAGTTATTTTTGGAAGAGTTACAGCAAATTTTTAACAATAAATATATGTTAGTAACAGGGGAAAGTGCTAATTACAAATCTTTGAAATCTTCAAATTTAATAAATTAAATGACAGTTAATTAATAATAACGCACACACTCAACATAGCCCCGCACTAGGGAAACCCTGCATCGCAGGTGCCATGGACACACACATAAACAACCGCAAATTACACCCAAACTCACGAGAGAAATAAATGTAGGCCATACAAATATTTCTCCCAGGCCGGGAATCGAACCTGGGGCTTCTGCGTGGCATTCAAGCATGGTAACCGTTCGGCCACGGAGGCAGTTAATGACACATTTAATTTAAAATTCTTTTCTGTAAATCATAATACCAACAAACTTGTTAATTTGGTAGTGCTTGGTGAAAGAAAAATTTAAATCGATTTAAGAGAACACTAAACGAATTTGTTTCTTTAAATTGTTTTGATGTTTACCTTTTAATGCTTCTATGGTGCAAATATAGTTTTGAGTAGAGAACAAATAGAGGAAAAATATCTTTTTTTTAAATTTGTTCATTATTGGGGGCGGATTTAGCATCGCTCATTACAAATTAGAAATGATATATGATAAGGACCAACTGAGATTAAATTATTGGAAGTCGTATATGTAGAGTAATTGAAATTTATTAATAAATTAATATTCCTTTTTTAATGTTCTAGTTCTTTTTCTGTAATGACGTCCAATGAGATAATATTTGGATTTCCAGTTGTAAAATTATAAACTAATAGATTAGGGTCTTGCTGGAATGAAACTGGTTGTACAGTGGGCAATCACAATGCCGTCACAATGCAGCTGGAGAATAGTCGTGCTGATTGCATTCAAGCTTTCTTACAGTAGGAATGCTGCTCATCAATCTTGAGCATGTCTTTTTCGAATATTAAATTCTATGTTATTATTATAATTTTAGATTCTCGTCTCTCCCATGGCCTAAAAGATAAATGAATTTTTAAATGGGACAGGTGGAGTTCCCTGGCAGTGGTACTGGCCTTCCCATCGTGAGGTTGGATAAGTAATTTGTTTAGTTCTAAATCACAAGGTGCATTACCGTCTAATGTTTAGTATAGACTTAACTAAATATTACACTACTTATTTGCCTATGTTTACTAAAAATGGTAAAATAAAGAAACTTAAAAAAAATCTATCAAATCTAAAACCACGAACACTCAACAAAAGACCAAGACGAGTCGAGAGCGTGGTACGCCATTCTCCTCGGGCCAGTCTAGCTCCATCGTCCGGCCCGTGGGTTCCTGTTAGCTTCACCACGGGATGAAATAAACCACAGACCACCGGAGGCCGGAACCCATTGGGGGGTTGAGTGGCTGACCTAAGGTGATATGATACTTCGTTCATCACGACGTAACACTTCACCACAATAGTGGTAACTGCAACTGATGACCTTCGCGCTTCTTCTTTCTCGGGGTAGCCGTCAGTGGACTACCACTTCGGAGAGGTCGTGGTCGTTCTCTGAGGCCGATGAATTGGCAGTACCTCGATTTCCGTTCAGTCTTCCTTTGTAAACTTGTTCAGTTCGTAGTTCATGATCAGAGTCTTGACTGACTCAGCACAGAGTCGCGAAAGTCGGGTAGCGGGCCAATTCAGCAATACACTTAGGCTCTCCCTAACGTGCTGGGTTCTCCAGACTTCTGTGTTGTGGAACTGGTTTGGAACAATTTATTATCAAAATAAACTTCATTGAACATCTCTCATTCACAAGCTCGAGGAGATGGGAGTGAGAGGAATTCCTCTTGAGTTATTTAGGGATTACTTGACAGACCGGAAGCAGTGTGTTAGGATCGACCAATGGCTGAGTGATGAGCTCCCTGTGACATACGGCGTCCCCCAAGGTAGCATTCTTGGGCCTACCCTGTTCTTGGTCTTTATTAACACCTTATGCAACCTAAATCTCCGTAATAGCAAAATACTTACATTCGCTGATGATACGGCGCTTTTCTTCAGCGGCCGAAGCTGGGACGAGGTCTTTGTCTCTGCGCAGTGCGGTTTCAATGTTGTGTGCGCATGGTTGCGGAAGAATTTATTAACCCTCAATGTATCAAAAACCAAATACATGGCCTTTGCACTTCGATCCCATCTTCTACCGTCGTTGAATCTAACTCTTAGGGCGCATACATCCTGTAACCTGGGGCGCCTAGATTGCCGCTGTCCGTCTCTTATAAGAACTGAATCTATTCGATATCTGGGAATCATCATAGATCAGACGCTTACCTTCAAACCTCATATCGAATCTGTAGTACCTCGTTTACGCAAGCTCATCTATATTTTCAGGACCTTGCGGTATGTTGCAGACCGGAAAACGCTAACAACGGTCTATTATGCCCTTTGCCAATCTATTATTGGGTATTGTATAACGTCGTGGGGTGGGACATCCAAAACTCATCTCATTGAACTGGAGAGGGCTCAACGGGCTATATTAAAGGTGGGGGCTAGTCTTCCTTACCGTTACCCTACTAGTGACCTTTATAAGAAATGGGATGTCCTTACCATTAGACAACTATTTGTTCTTAACACAGTCCTCAAAAAGCACTCCCTTCTGATATATGATCCGGATCTGACCAAAGACAAACGTAGAAAGGGCATGGTTTGTCAGGCCCAACCAGTTAATACAGGATTCTCTCAGCATTTCTTTTATTTTCTTGCACCCTACTTGTATAACAGATTAAATACTAAACTTTCCTTTTACGCGCTAACAAAGACAATCTGTAAAAAAATTATCACTGACTGGCTTAAGACCCAAAATTATGACGGCACTGAACAATTACTGTCTGTCCTTGAATGACCCTACAATTCTTTTGACTGATCAACAGTACTCTCGCCTAAATATCCACATTCGCAATTCACGCTATTACATACCACACACCCCATACTCACCCTACTCACCACACTTAATATTCACCAAATCAAGCAACTACACATGCCCCACATTCATACTCTCTATTATAGTTGAGTCTTAGAGGTTATTTTTGCTTATTTTAGTTCTCGTTTTTTATTATAGCGTGGAACTTAGTTTTAGATTACATGTTAAGTTTCTTAGCGTTCTCATATATCATAATCAATATGTCATAAACATATTATACATCTGTGGAGTGGAAGCCTGGTGACCTGTAATACAGGTTTTTTATAAACCTATCTCGGGCACCAGTCTCTCACAAACCAGCATGCCCAACTTGTTTATATTTTTCTGTAAGCTAATTGTTATCATAAGCTAGTTTGTGATGAGAAATAAAGTATCATTTCATTTCATTTCAACATTCAATTGAGGCAATTAATAGTCCAGTGACTCTTGGTGACAGATTTGCTATCAATATATTTAGTTGCTGATGCTGATATATATACATATATATGTAGGTACGAGTATCTTGTTGATGTTGATTGAATGTATTTTTTTCCGAAAATATACACTGGCTTACAGGTGCTCAGTGATCTGAAATTGTAGCTTCATCCTAGGACTTCGGATCGTTCTTATCATAAGTGTCACAGACTTAAATTTAAATCTTAAGTGACAAGCAGAGCGTGCTGTTGATTGTATAAATATTCTGTCCATAATGTTATTTTTAATTTTGATTAAGTTGCTACAAATTTGAGGTGGCTATAGTTAAAATATTTTTAATGAACAATACATTACACATTATTATTTGCGGTTTTGTGATAATCATCATATTGCAATCTACTACTAGACGTAACTGGACATTAATTCCTCCGAAGTTGTGTTACAATATTAGGGCAAGGCTTTCTTCTACTGTCCATCGACCTTACTGGTGGTAAGGTTCTCTGTAGTCAATCCGACAGGTTAAATACCGTCGCTTTGCCTATTTTTGCCGCAAAACTCGTGTATTGTGTCAATTTCTATTGAAGAGTCGGGAGAGCCTGCGCAATCATAGGTACAAGACAAGCTCTAACATCCCATGGCTGGCAACGTGTTTGCTGTTTAGGGATCTCAAATGTTTATGGGTGGTGGTTACCAATTAACATCAGGAGGATCGCTTGACTGTTTGCCAGTTTGTAAACCATAAAATAAGCCTCTGTAGTTTGCAGTTTCGTTAGCAACTCTGATTTAGTTTAAGTCAAGTCATTAGCCTATCGTTCTAAATCTGTTGTCCTCTATTTATAAGATAAACAGTTTGCTTCGGTAAGATTAAACTTTTCCAGTGAATTATCTCGCCCGTGGTATGTGTGGGTTAAACGGTGCATTATTTGATTCATATCTTAGTCTTTACGTAATTTTACTATTAGAAACATGTGTGTTTCTAAGCAATGTTTAATACAGGATATCTGATATTACAAAAATAATATAAGCTCCTATATATTTTGGTTGAGTGTGTATGAATAATTAATATTATGGAACAGCTGATATTTCTTTTGTCGATTTCAGAGGGGTGTAGCATCAACTTCCTTCCGTCGTAAAGCAATTATTTAACACTCTGTGTAATTGTTATTCGGTTTCTATGGAAAAAGAAGAAGTCAATATCACGCTATATTTATTTCGTGTTACTAATAGGCATTATAAATACGAAACTCCGGATGTCTATTTAGATGTTTACTGAATTACGCCGAAATGGTTAAACGGATGTTACGAGAAAAACTAATTTTTAACTTAAAATTTTTGTCATCACGACGCTAAAAAAGATCGCTTAGTTTTTATCAGAGTGTAGTGACCTCCTTATCATATCTTACACACATATATAGTAACTGTCATAATTATTCATACAAGTATAATATTCTCTCAAGAATAATCTTTCATAATGTTTTTTTTTTCAAACAACGAAAAAAGATTATTTTAATCAATTAAAGTATTTCCTGCATTCAAGTGACGATGATTTTTCCTATTAGTAGCATATTTTAAACTTAAGAAAATGAATCAAAATGGTTCTCATGCAAACGAGTAATATAATAGTGTAATGCAAATGTTCAGTGTTTTTTATTTCAACATTCGTATTTCTTATCAGTTGTTTATTATACTTTAGCTCCACATCACACCAAAACCGCAAAATGCTGTGCAGTACATCGATCGTATGCATGCTTTTCAATGGGAGTGGGAATAATAGACGCACCGTACACGTCTTGCAAATTTCCGTGTAATACATATTGCATTTGTCCTTTATCTCATTTTAATAGAAAATTTTTAAACAAGTGGCCTAAAAGACAATCTAATGCCTAGCATCACACTCCATTTGTAGGCCGATTGCATTGGTTTTGATATAGAAAAGTTAATTTTTTTGATTTTAGTTCCTGGATTAATGTAATTCGATTAACGTTTTCGTAGTATGTTTTTTAAATACGAGCTCATAAAATCTGAAATGTTCTTTGATTCAAGCGATAATTCGTATAATATGGTCATCATAATATGTGTAAAGTTGTATCGCTGCATGAAAGATACTAAACTTGGTCACATTCTATTTATAGGATGAACGTAAGCGCATGTTACACCAACCACGCATTTGCTTTACATCACGTAGTATGCAGACAATTGTTGTAACTACTAGTCCCCAACACTGGTATAAAATTTGTTTTAGGTGTTTTTTTTGCACCATTTTATTCAATAAACTTTGTTCTTTCATTCAATAACTTTGTTTTGTTTTTCGCAGAAATTCATTATCGCTGTATGTTCGAATTTCAAACTTTAACTACCTCGGTGGCCGAACTGGTACCATGCTGGGCTGCCACGCAGAGGTCCCGGGTTCGACTCCTGGGCCGGGAGAAATATTTGTATATCGAGTATATGACCAGAAATAGAGACGAAATGTCATTTAATTTGTTTGAAAACTATTCTGCCGTATCATTACTGTGACAACTGCGCTCCGATTGGCTAGCCTGAGTTCGAAACAATTGACGGGTGTCGTCTGTGGGTGTCGTCAATGGGTGTCGTCAACTGTTTCACTTCAAATCGACTTGTTAACTTGAGCTTTGCTATAATGGACGAAAATTGCAAAATTACATATATAATATGTAATTACCGATGAAATGTGATTCCGTTTGTTTTGTAATTAGATGTTTTGCTTTTTTCCCACACCACCGAATAGAACAGCACGGCATTGTTAGAGATATTATCCTTATTACAATAAATACAGAATATTTTTTGGAATATACGGAGACGTACACAGGTCAGTAGTTGGCCTGTCTATATTTCAGTGCAAACGAGAGTTGATATTTATAAGAGCTGTATCGCTAATGTGTTACCAGGAATATATGGCCCTTATTTCGTCTCTATTTCTGGTTATATACTCGATGTATTTGTATAACGTATATTTATTTCTCTCGTGTGTTTAGAGGGTGTAATTTGTGGTTGCCTATGTGTGTGTGTGTGTGTGTGTGTGTGTCCATGGCACCCGGGATACAGGGTTTCCCTAGCGCGGGGCTATGAGTGTGTGCGTTATTATTATTATAAAGTCAGTCTCTCTATAGAAAATGTCAACACGCGATACATCTGATTACGGTTGATTTTACGTGTTTTACAGAATAATTGTGGATAAAATCGACATTGACAAAGATGGTTTCGTGACACTGGTAGAGTTGAAGGACTGGATCCGCTATACCCAGAAGCGATACATCGATGATGACACGGAGCGTCACTGGCAGCAGCACAATCCGAACAATGAAGAACATCTTCCTTGGGAGGTACGTATAATTTCATTTAAATAAATTTATTTATATCAAACATGGTACTTAATTGAAAATAAGCAAGAAACAAAAGTGATAGACTTGCGTCTTTGAATTAATTATTACCAACTTTTGTGTATCTAATTCTTAGGTTTTCGCGATTGTTACAAATTCGAAATGAAATGATTTTTTCGTATGTAAATCGCGTATATTTGTTTTTCAAATAAACCAACGTTTAGGGCCCTTTACAGGTCCCATGGTCATGGCTGACAGAGATGGTAAAAAACTTTAACTTTTACACTTCAGCCAGCCGTGATCAAAGCACAAGTAGCGAATTCTAAAACCGGAGATAAATGTGTAAATATTCGTTAGGTTTTTCTGAGTTATTGTTTTTAATATATAAAATATACATTTGATAATACGTAGTTTATTTGTCGTTTTTAAAATTATCTTAATTTTCTCTACCAGAAAAAATAAAAATATTACTGCATATTAAATTGCATAACAAATTTTTCATCACACTTGCTCGTAAACAGTCTCTTGACATGCGGGCAAAACCAACCGTAATGCCCTAAACTAATACCCACGGACTTTTTCATTACATTATCGCCCCATGGATTTTACACGTTTTAGATTAAGCAAAAAGTTTTAAAGCTCGAAAAATTTGAACGTATATTTCGCATAAACTTGAAGTGTAAAAAAGAACTAAACATTTGCAATTTAACTATAATTTACTAAATTTATTTTGTGAATAAGTACAAATTCTGCAGTATTTTTAGAATTTGGGAATTATTTATTTTATATCTAATACATTGTGGCTGCGTGAGTCTGTGCCTTTTATAACATTTTAGTTCGAGTTGTATTATCTGTGAAAGAATTGCTGGAAATCGGTTTAAAAAATACAAAATATTTGCCCGTCATTTGCAACAATCCGTAAATGTTGTGTTGTGAAGCGATATTTATTCATACAAGAAATAAATTATCGTTGAATCTATTTCCTCGCAAATGTGATAAAAAACATTGTAGCACGGGCGGTAAAACGTACAAACTCGAGTCATTAAAGCCTTTAAAGTCTTTGGCTTCGGACTTCTAACAGACTCTCGTTGATATGTAACTTAATTTTGATAAAAATGGTAGTGCGGCCGTTTTTCATTTCGAGGGCAGTAAAGGGCCGTAAACGTTGGTTTGTTTGAAAAAATACACGATTTAGATCTGACAAAATAGTTAACTTTTCAATATTATGTTGGAATATTTAATATCAAAGTTACATACATTTGTGAATATTTAGTAGCAACAGCGATGGCTAAAAAAGTGAAGATTTTACAACCCTTAGAAAACAGTCCCCAACCCACATTGGGCTAAATCATAAATTTTACAAGAGCATTTGGAGAGGCCTGTGAACTGCAGTGAGACAATATAGGTCAATGAAACTACGATTACATACTACCGTACTATCCCAAAGTGATGTGATGCAATGTAGTGATTATCTGTGGTGTTGTGTTACTACGGGTCCTGATTACAATGGAACCATCCAGATGCGTAGAGTCTACTTGTGTATGTATGATGTCTTCTTTTTCAAATCCAGTAACGACATTATGAACTCAGAGTTTTCTTTTAAAATTCAAATTTACAGACGTACAGGAAGAACGTTTACGGGTTCATGGAGGAAATGGATCCGAAGGAACTGACTACACCTAACAGCGAGGGCTTCACCTACTCAAACTTATTGAAGAGAGATAGGCGCCGGTGGCACCATGCTGGTTAGTTATTCTGCCCCTTTGTCGTAACTAATGCATTTCGGTAACTTGCGAGATAAAATAAGATCTTAAAAACCGATTAGAGAGGGTTATAGATCTCGTTTAGCTGATCCCAGATAATGTTACTAACTCAAATTTCGCTAAAAATTACATTACTTATGATAACTAAGGTATATATAATTCGTTTCAATCCATTTTGAACAAAAAGTAAACAAACAAGTCACTGACCCGACCATGGACGGTTTAGTGATGGCCCATTGTAACGCCAACTATAAATCGATTAATTAATTGAATGAATCGATTTCTTCAATTGATTCATACTAGCGGTTTTCCTTACATAACCTCTATATGAATATTTAAAATTTTAATTTAAATCCTCCTTCAAATCCTTACACTTAGATACTCGTTCGATTGCGATTGAAATGTTCGATTTATAATCGATTACTAAACTTTAATTGATTGAACCGAATGTTTTTTTTTCGAACAGCACTATGCACCCACAGGCAAGTCATAGAAGTATAGATGAAGAATAACCTCACTTTTGGACTATCATTTTTCAAATACGATTTTACGATGGTATTCAAATGAATATTGTTGGAAAAAGTGATGATATACATATCAAGTCGAAATCTTCGAAATATACGTGAAAGTGTTACTTTTAAGTGTTAAGTGTTATTCGATTTATTGAGTGTTTGCTTTAGAATTTTAACCAAACAGGTTTGTTTACCATTTGTTCAAAATGGATTGGAACAGACTATAGTATTGTATGTCTATTGAATTTGCTTAAGACATTGAGGTGGAAATCTATACATTCGAAATTTATTTGCAATGTTTCAATGTTCAATTTCTGAAGTTCATTATTTTTTCAACTTTCAAGTGAGCGCTTAAGTAGCGATACCATTGACCTACGTCATTAAGCGGTACACAAAAATAACTTTTTTTTTAATAAATTATAAGTGCGCAATTGACCTCCATCTCACCTGGTGGAAAGTGACGATGAGGTCGACGATGGAGCATTTAATGTCCTGCGCAAGCATCTACGTATTTTTAAACTGTACATTTATTTAGAATACTAAATTATCGCTTTATTGAATAATACATTTTAAGGAAAATTGCATGTATGTCAAGCTTCACAATAATGTTCAAAAGTTTGTGTCCGAACAATGCTTATCGTCGCTATAGGCTCAACTCACACTGGCGCAGAGTCGAAGCGTCGCGTCGCGTCCTGTTTTTCAACTACACTGCGTCGCGACGCTTCGACTCTGCGCCAGTGTGAGTAGAGCTTTAGAGTGAAAACCTCGTAAACGTGTTTTCATATAGTTCGTTTTTACTGATTATTGTTGAAGAAAAACTTATAAACTGCTTGCTCAAATATATTATTAAAGTAATATAGTATCTGAAAGAGGTATAATTTAAGTAATTAAAATGCTAACTACAAACATTATTGCGTTTACTACATTTTACACCACATTTTTATCTTCGTCCTGAAAATTACATAGAAATCACATACGAGGTTTTCACTCTAAGAGTCGTGTTCTAGAACTCTATTCAGTGCTCATGTCAGGATTGCACTGGCAACACAAGCACTGGAAATACGACCCTAATCACAGGGACTTGAGTATGATTTCGAGTGCTTTAAACCATATTCAAATCCTGACTTGAGTATTGAGTAGAGTTCTAGAATACGACCCTAAGACGACGTTATGTATATTATAAAAGAGCATTGATTATAATAATGATGTAAGACTTCAGTAATAGACATAACACATGTCTTCAGTAAGAGAGTTAGTGGGAAATATTTACTGTCCTGAAACAAATTTGTTTGTGCAGTACATTCATTAGGTAAAGAGTGCTGATTCGATAACACAATTCAGTTTTTTTTATGATAATATAAATGCGCATTTCACCTTCATCTCTCCTTAAGTTATGATGAGGTTGACGATGGAGCATGCACACCCAAATAATGCCTATTCACTCGCGCCTTGAAAAGCCTCAAATTATAGCGTTAAAGAATGAATATGCAGGCAAGGAATTCCACTCCATAGCCGATCGCCATATCATTATGGAAGCGTAATTTTTTTTTATAACATTAAGTGAAGGGACGAACAAGTCGTGGGCCTGAAAGTTGAAAATTTCACCAGCACCCTTACCCTTCAAAACCGGAACACAGTAACGCTGAGATTACTGCTTGGCGGCAGAAATAGGACACGTGACAGTACTTACCTGGACGATCTCTTTCACAAGGCGCTCTACTGCCACTAAGTAATGCTTCGTGCGAATCTTTAAAATGTCCACATCGTTGGGGTGGAACCCCAGCCCGCGACTAGTCCCCGATAATGAAAAGGGGAAGGCGGAATGAAATCGTCTCTCAACACACTGCTGTTCCTTTTATCTAGTGGAAAGATCTCCAGCATAGTATTAATATTTGCAACGTAATAATTTCAGATCAAGACGAGGACGACGCGTTGAACCGAACAGAATTTTCAGGATTCCTGCACCCAGAGGAATACGGCAACATGAGGGACATTGTCGTACTCGAAACAATGGAAGACATTGACAAGGATAATGTAGGCATTTATGAAAACTTGTTTTGATTTCTCGTGGGAATATAATTTCAGCACAGAGTAAAACCGACCTCAAAAGTTCGTGGAATTACATCTATTTGCTAAGTTTTTGAACTCGGTTACCGGAAAGTGCGCGAAACGGTATTCATCACCTACTTTGCCACCCTTACAGGTGGAATATTTTCTTCAAATTAATAATAAAATATAAAGGGGCCAATACTGAGGTACACTCTTTCCAACAAAAAAAAAACATAATCAAAATCGGTTTACATATCGATACCTCCTACGTAAGTCGATGTAAGTCAAAATACCATATTATATTCTTTTTTTATGTATATTATAGGTTCCGTGTTTGAAAGTAAACATAACACTAAGTTATTTTTTTACTTTTAAATATGGAACCAATAATGTAGGTACCTATACATAAAAAATAATATGATACGTAATTTAAAAAGCAAAATATGTATTTTGACTTACAACTTAGGTGGGAGGTATCGATATTATGTTAATGTTGGAGTTATCGCATTATATACATGTAAACAAATACAGTCCAATCGAGAACCTCTTCCTTTTTTTGAAGTCGGTTAAAAATACGCGAACTGCGTTATACGTCAGAGTGTTATAAGGAAAAGATTAAAGTAGCTATAAAAACGTTTCAAAATAAAAACTTTCAGAAAATAAATTTCGAAGTTAAAATAACGCACGTCAAAAACTAAATTGCAACAACAATATTCGAGAGTTTCGCAAACTTTGACATTACCGTAGGATGTACTACATTTGAATCCCTTTTAACCAGTTTAAGATTATTTTTATTTGTTTGCGACTAGACTGTATTCAGAGTAGTGTTTTCGATATAATCGTTAGTTTGGTACACTCAGCCTTACGTTAGGCTATTCAAACGGTCACTATTAAAAGTACAAATAACTCTATTAACTGATGATAACTACTATTTCGGACAAACAATTTAAATACTTTGTTTTTATAATTATATTTGATGGTCCTTTTTATAGGGAATAGTAGTAGAGGGAATTAATTAGCTAGACACGTTTTGTTGTCCAATCGTGGGTCACTGTATGTCAGTTACTATTCAGTTTATTTTGACCTGTGGATCATTATTGATTATAATTTGCAGGACGGCAAGGTGTCTGTAGATGAGTACATTGGAGACATGTATAAGCCGGAGGATGGGATAGACGAAGAGGAACCCGATTGGGTGAAGCAGGAGAGGGAACAATTTGCTAGCTATAGGTCAGTAATGTATACGTTGTTCATTTTCTGCAACTGATTGAATAGCTCGTGTAGGTTCTCTGTACAAGGTTCTAATTTATTAGCTGACATCCTTTAAAAAGCATGTCGAGTACCTTAAAGCACATTTTACTATGTGGACTCTTGTTCATACCTACTCGAATATGATCATTTACTATGGAACAGCCATTGTTGTTATTTCAGTCACGGATGTGACCTGGATTCGGCCCATGGAACTTCCGGTATATTCGACAAACTTCTATGAGGGCACTTTCTAGATTTTAGCATATTTTTAACAGCTTTACATTAAAGTGCTAATACTTTCTATGCCTACGTCTAAATTAGAATCGAGGCTATTTCCTAACTACCCACATTTTTTCTACAATATTACTTTAAATACTAAGTACATAATTACTTTATATTTGGATGCTATTTTCATGTATAAAAAATATTTTAATATTTTTTATTTTTGAACACGAAATCTAAATATAAAATAATTAAGTATTTCGGTATCTTTTAAAGTATAAAGTATAAATGTTGTAGAAAAAAATGTTGATTTGGTATACCACTTTTGCGCTGATAACCTCAATTATAAATGTATTTCGCTGTCCGGGTTTTCAGAAACTACTAATTACATAACCTATATTTAGTATTTTCTGAAAACCCGGAATATGTCATAAAAGCATGCTCTTTAAGAAATAGTAGCGTCATTCCGGTTTGATTATTTTTTATAATATCAAGTGATGGGACGAACAAGTCGTGCGCCTGATGGTAAGCTACGCGCCTGTCAATAACAGTTGCAGTGCCACTCAGAGATTTAAATCGCAAAGATGTTATGGGCACTGAGATAGAAGCTAACAAGTCCCACGTGTCTGTAATTTTACCAGCTTTTGCATCTTATGTTCTATTAAATTTACTATTAAACGTTTCTTAATTTCTAGGGACGCAAACAAAGACGGTTATCTAGACGCAGGGGAAGTCAAAGACTGGATCGCACCACCGGAATTTGATCACGCCGAGGCCGAAGCGAGGCACCTGGTGTTCGAGGCCGATGGTGACGCTGACGAGAAACTGACCAAGGAAGAAATTTTGGATAAATATGACTTGTTTGTTGGATCGCAAGCTACTGATTTTGGAGAGGCCCTGGCGAGGCATGACGAGTTTTAGATTAACACTTGTTTTTGTTTAAACCTGTCGGATATAGTACGCGAGTTATTTTTACCCGAAAATTAAAGGCGCAACAAAAGACTGTGAGAGGTCCGTAGTAACTGACACTTACTCATTGCTCATATGTTTAGAACATCTGGCCGATTAACGTGGACTATAGCCGATAGACGGTAAGCCCGTCATAACCCTTGAATATAATTTTTCTATAGATTTTCAGTTGAATTAATAACCTGTAGAGCAGACTATAAACTTTACATCAGCTGTAACATATTTGTAATAGTGTATACGCTCTTTAGTTACAATGTTTCTGGTGACACCTGAACGATTATTTCAACCTCAACATTGTATGGTGTGCAATCCTATTGTGCAATTTCAAATATTGACTTTATGTCTAAATCGTTAAGATATTTTTTTATTTAATAAGCGAATACAGATAAGTATAAGTGTTCAAGAAAAAAAAAACAGCGCATAATTTAATACAGAATGTCTCTGCGTAATCTACTAAGTCTACTGAATATTAACCTATATCTTTGCCTTAATTATAAAATTTAATTAACAGTAGCAGAAGATTTTAATGTCAAATTTCATTAGACCGAACGGTTTTAAAAAAAATTTTAATGTCATGTTTTAAAAATTTTTTGAGAAGCTGACAAAATAAATAAAAAATAATATACTAAATAAAAGTAATGTATCGTTTTTTATATCACACAGAATGTTTATCATACTTGGCATCTTCAAATAGCATATGGCTGGTACCACGTGAGTTATATTTTTTAGATCTATTTTGTCAATTTCCAAAAAAATACTGTTCGAATTTCATGTTTTATTGAGAGTGTGTTTTCCTATTACAAAATACTTAATGATAGTATTTTGTTTATTACGTACAAAGTTTATACGATTTGCAAGTCGCGGACATGCGAATCCATTACATACGTAACGATATTCTGTTTATTCAAGTCGTTAAAAAATCTCTTCTTATCTTTAGTATAAGAAATAGCATCTTTAGTATAAGAAATTGCAGCTTATTTTTGATACTTTTTAAAAACTCTGCAAGTTTTCTGTGGGCATTTTATTTTAACATTTATATTAATTGACTGTCCTCTCCATACAGTAAAATCTCATTTATAATTCGTCATTTTATTATATAGAATCTCTATTCGTGGCACTAATGAAAATACTTAGTTTTTCGATAGTAAATAATAATTTATAGTTTTGTAGTTTATGAGACCAAAGTAATCTTCAGTGAGTATTATATATAATTAGATACTGAAATACATTTTTCTGCATTATACTCGGAGCTTAGTCATTTCAGAAATTGCTGCCATTTTCATATATGCTCAACATCAAAAGTGATTACTTGCGAATGTCCATGATAAGCGTGTTAATAACAAACCTGCATTTCTTAAGAGTTTGAGTTTGCTACTCGATACAAGGGATCTGTTTTAGGAGCAAAATTAAAGCCGAATGTTTCTGAGATTTTTGATGTTGACTGTATATATTTTGTATTGTGATATATTATGAATCTTCCGTAACATTTTAATGCATTTATCTTTAATATTAGCTTTAAAGTAAAAACTATTAGTTCCATTAAATAAATACGTAGATTGGATGTTAACAATGACTGTAATAGATTATTGGTTTTACAAGTAAATAAAAATTTATTTTTAAATGATTGAATGTTTTTTTTGAATTAGATTATACTTTTATATCAATTCATGAGCCTCATTCATTTTTCTAACATATTCCGTCACGCGTTCTAGAGACACTCTACACACTCTACACTCTACTTCTACATTTTGTTGTCTGTAGACAGAACGAGAAAAAATAGACTTAAGGGTATTTTGATGTCCACGTAGGGATAACCTCCTTCCGACGGTATCATTTTTAATCCGGAAAGCTATGATACCGGTTTAGATTAGATTGCACACTGGAAACCGTAGTTTATTCAGTCCTATTTGCAAAATATTTCCCTCCTGTATTTAGAAGATACAAGAGATTTATCTTTCACAAGATATACTGTGGGATCCTACAGTATATCTTGTAAGTACGTGTTTTTCGAATTGCACGGTTGTTGTCGAACTTTTTAACACGTGATCCTTCAGAAGATCTTTTTCCATTCAAGCAGATTGTGAAAAAATGTACAACCACTTTTGTTTAATGAATGATGTTATGATTGATCGATTGAAATGCAAGACCAATACGAGACTAACTCAGTCTTGGTCTTGGTCTTGCGTCAGTATATCTGGTCATGGTATTGGTCTTGGGCTTGTGTCAGTACATCTGGTCTTGGTATGGGTCTTAGTATTGCTGCAAGTCTCGCAAGTAGAGATGAAACGGTTATCCGGTAACTATTTTTATTATCCGGCCGGATACCGGATATTTCAAACGGAGAAAAATTCATAACAGTACACCAAATAAATTGAATTATTGACTAAAGATAATAACACGAATAGTAATACGATAAACAGTAACTACATGACCGTTGATAATCTGTTTATTACTTGAAACTGAAAGCACTATGAAGTTAGATAACGTTCTGTAAATTCTAAAATCTGTAACTTTAGTAATTTAATTTCAATAAAGGTTAATTATGGTGGATGTATACCAGTTGTTCTGTTTTAAGTGCTAAAAGTTGGCTCTATTTGATGATTGAGCGGATGACAGTTTTTCACTATAAACTCTTGCAAACTTTGTTAAATTTTATGTACTACTTGTTATTGCCAGACAATCAAATGAAAGGATTGCGATCACGATCGATTTGATCTATCTTCAAATACAATGTATAGCTACCTACAATGATGAAACGTTTAAGTAGATTAAAAAATGTTTTTTGGCAAATCTGTATCAAGATTTAAAATTAGTTAGATCACAAACAAATTAATGAAATCAAATTGAAAGAAAATAACGGCACTATGAAGTGCTAGGCTTATACTTGTAACAACTAGAAATTTTAAAAAGCCAAAGAATGATGTAATTGCTTTTCTTCCTTCTCCACCTCGAGAAATTTGCATTCGGCACAACAAATAAACAGCACTGATATTAAAATATTGCCGAATTTGCGATATTTTACTGTGTAACATTTTTCTGTTATGTATTTGTTTGTATTACTGAATAAATTAATCGTTTAGGAAATGAAACTATTTTTCCGGATTTAAATACGAGTTGACTGTCATGTCAACCGTGACCATGGGACCTGCAAAGGCCCCAAAACGTCGGTTTGTTTGAAAAAAGAAATATACGCCATTTAAATCCGGAAAAATAGTTTCATTTCCTATGTGTAGCAATCGCAAAAACCTAAGAACTCGATAAATTAATCGTTTTTATAAAAACCAAGTGACCACAACAAATCAAATCGTCAATGTGAAAGTGCAATCATTCACTAATCAATCAATCATGGTGATGCGCGCTGTGAATCGGTCGCGACATGTTTACGGCAGTGGTGCAGATATCCGGCGGCTGTATATCCGTCTATTCGGCCTAGTGGCCCGATGGATACCCGGTATCAGGCCAATTGTAAGACTTACTCGCAAGTCTTGCAATTACCTATTGCTACTTAATAGATAAATAGATATGCGAAAATACTATTGCCGATTATCGTAAACCGCAGGTGATCATAAAGATTTCCCCCCCGTCAAAAAAAAAAAAAAAAAGGTGATCATAAAGTTTGATGAATCGTAATACTTTTTACGACTGGTATTGTAAAAAGTATCAAGATTAACAACGATTCTTTTAAACTTAAAATATATATGCATGAGAACAAGATCAGCAGAAGAGCATTAAAATGTGCACGGCAACACTAACGACAGCCATTTTGCATTGTCATTTCAATCCTCGAGTAGTCCTAGATTTCAATATCAGTTGAATAAATTTGGCATTTTTCGATAGGTTGACCTGCCGTTGACTGTACATAAATATAAAAAAAACAAAATCTAATAAAAAAACTGCTAGACGCAATACTCTTATTTTTGCCCAAATCTTGCAGGGTCGGTCTTGGTCTTGTCTTGCTACAATTCGGTGGTGCGATCTGTGACTGTAAATGCGCTTGTGTTATTTGTTTTATTAACTTTATGCGGAGGGTGGTAAAATTAGCTGCATACAAAAAATATTCAACACAAGCGTAGCTATTTTGGGTCCTCAGCTCCACTGGGTACGCGAAGTAGCAAATTCACCTGAATCTTTTTTAAATTTTATAATACCAAGTGACGGGACGAACCAGTCGTGCGCCTTGTGGTAAGTGACACGCCTATCCATAACAGTTGTAATGCCACCCAGAGCTTTAAATCGCAAAGATTTTAGAGGCACGTCACCTTGAGACATAAATTGACAAGTCCCGTGTGTAGAGATGGGTCATGGATAAATATCATTGGGATAAATACTCAGGGTAAATATCCATTTTTACTCGATATTTATCCAAAAACATGGATAAATATTTTTTAATCGAGAGATTATTATTTATATTTAGTAAAACAAAGTATATTTTTAAAACACTGTGTACCTACACAATTATAAGCATTTATTTTCTATATCATGTGTTTTAATTAATAAATTTTGTGTGTGAAATGTGAAAGAGAATCCTTAGGCTACTTCAAGTCCAAACATGACTTTGTTTAGTACGCAGTAGACCTCAAGACCATAAAGTTGAGTCGCACTTTATTGACGCAAGATAGGTCAGCTCAAGGGTTACAGTTAAAATGACAACTTTCTGTCAATCGAATTTTTTCATACCACTCGGCTCGAAAAACGTAAGTAGAACAGTATTGTTACATAAAAGAATGGCAAAAACGTAATTATTTAATAAAAAATGAATTCTAATGAATTTTATTATAAAAAACACAAAAAAATAATTATCCATATTTTAGGATAAATACTCAGTAAAAACGGATATTTATTAGATATTTATCCTAAGACGGATGTTTATCGGGTAAAAACCCATCTCTACCCATGTGCCTGTAATTTCATCAGCACCCTTGCCATTCAAAACGCAGTAATGCTGACATTACTTATTATTATTTTCGTTTTCCCACGCACGATTGTTGTGTTTGTGCCACTGCAAAAATAGGAAACACGGAAAAATATTTTTTTTGTTAGTCTCTGTATAAATAGTGTGAGTAATAAACATTGTAACATCTCGAGTGTTACGGTCGTTGAGCACAGACGCGCAGGTTCACATCACGTAAGCGTAACGTTTGCGGTTTGCACATAGAGCTATGTTACTTGTTCTGTGATGAAGTAGTAGGTACAACAAATTTACTTCATATTTTACTACCACGATAGTCATGTTTTTTTACGAAAATACCTTGTTTGTTATTATTATTGACACATAGAACACCGCAAAGAAAAAATCCAGCATATACGCTGCTCTACAGGCTGATTTTAATTCAAATCAGATTGGATCTGATCGGGTAGCCCATCCGAGTCTCGAAATTAGAGATGTACTCGGTGTACTCGGCCGTTTTTTTACAACTCGTACTCGGCCGAATAACTCGATTCATGAGAAGAGTATATAATCAAAAGAGATTTATTACTAGAAATTCTAGGCAATTGCAACAATTTGTAGCAATTTAGTAATTTAAAAAGATAGTTTACATTATTAAGGTAAATGTCCCAGTGGTTGACACTGTCCCAATGTATGACACTTTTGCATTATTTCTCAAAAAATAAAAACACAAATATTGATATTACTCCAAAACCGTGTTAAATGTACTAGTAACGACATCTATGCTTTCGTCGATTCATTCAATATTTTTTGAATATGGCGAAAGTCTTTGCGAGCAGGTGATCGGAGTGTAACCTGTGTCGCTCTTGTTATAGAAATAGTTAAGACTTTGAGTAGTTTAAGTGAATTTATCATGCGGAATATTATTAATTACCGGTAAGTGTTTATTGAACTATTAGATAACACAGAAAAAACACTCAGAAAAAATTCCTTCGATCCGGTCGGATTCGAACCGACGTCTTCTTGCATACCGTGCCAGACGCTATACCAACTAAGCACGTAACGAACCAACGGACCTCACGAATTTTTCTATGTGCTTACGTCGTGTCTTTGTACTTGGTCTTTCAACGACTTTTTAGTCGTAATTGTCGTACTTTAGTGGTGTATATATATCCGTATACTTCCCACACGATAAGAGTGGTATGAGGCGGGAGTGGTGACACAGGTTAGCAGATTGAGACGAAATGCGCCTTTTATTTTTATGTCCCTGGAAGGCTTGCTTTTCTTCAGGAGACTCGTCGAGCTGCGCTG